AAATATCTGTTATAAAATGACCAGCGTCCACTCAGTTATATAGTTCTATGCATATGATCAGGCCCCCTACCAGGAGAAGAATTGGAATAACCATCACATTTATCATGTAAAAACATGAGTTTACCTATTGGCCTGAGGCGTTTTTTTCCCCAGCTTAGCCTGCAGGTCATAAACGCAGTCGTTAAAGGTGACACTTAATGGGCTAGAAAAATTATAAAGCATGCGGGAACCTGAACATGATAAATCCGAATAACATTAAAGTAGAAAACAGACACTTTTGTAATTCGTCACACAATTGGTTGATTTGATTCACTTATTATTTAATTAACGAATACAGCTCGCGCGTGCGCTGTATCCGTCAAAAACAAGCAATTTCCACTATACGCGTGTCATTCCGACGAGCGGGGCGATGCGTGTGGGATCCACCACCTGTGCCTTTAAGGACCCTCGCGATGCTGTCTCGTTTCAAACTGGCTTTGCTTTCTGCCACTAATTTTTGTTTATAACTCGGCACTCTCCCCAACTTGTGTTGGTGGCTTGTCAATCATCAAACCCCTTCTATTTTCCCCCACCTCCAGCTTTAGCCTTTTGATTTTTATATTTTAAGTCGCAACTTGACATATTCATTATTTTTCTAATTAATCATATCGTCGTGGAATAATGTATATAATACATCTGAAGATACGTGCTTATTAAAGAGATCCAATATTCCTTCTAAATTTGCACGGACTTGCTGGAGGCCTGCACCAAGTTTTAACCACCACCTTTTTGTGTGATGAGGTTTAAAGATTAAGAATCAGTGATCTGGGCTAGCCATGGCTTTTTGCCTGCCCACCACACAATATATTACTACATTCAGTTTTTAATATATAAAAATTATTTGATTAATTTGAATAGATAACAAAAATTAGTTTAGTTAGATATTTGTAATAAATAAGTATTGTCTTTCCTAAATTATCCCTACTAATCAGGTATATTAGTTAGAATTATCATTATTACAAATACTATATTGAGAAAAAATGAATAAATATAAAAGATAAAATTGATTGAAGTATTTCATTTAAGACCAAAATAAAAGTCAAACGAGTTCTTATATTAAGAATCGAAGGTAGTATATTGTTTTTTTTCCCAACTATATTACTAGCATTAATTATGGGCGCATCTTGAAGCAAAAAAAAAAAAGTTTTTTTGAGGGGCGGGCGTCGATCCATCCATTGTTGGGGGTGAGAACATCCGGTGCAGTGCATGTTTCGTTGCTCCTTAGGGAAAAAGTAGGGTGAAAAAAAAATCAATTTAAAAATTCAGCCATGCAAAAGCAGTCTTCTGCTTGCTTCGTGAAAACCGAGAGAACAAGCATCCAATTAAAAATTAGGTTTGGATCTCTAAAATGTTATCCAAGCGTAGATTTAAAAGTCGTTGTTAAAGCTAGCTTTAAAAAAATTTTTAAAAAACAAAAGAAAGAGAAAAATTATAAATAAAGACCCCCTAATATATAAAATTATGATTTGAGACTCTCAATTTAGAAAATACTCCTCCGGTCCTTAATATAAGACCCATTTAACTAATTTGATTAGATTAAGGAAGTTAGGTAAGTTAGTTAATTATAAGAAAAGTGACATATTTTTCCTAAAATACCATAGTCATCTTTCTTAATACCCCCTCTCTTATACTTAATTATGGTTGAAGGAGTATCCATGGGGGTAATTTAGAGAAAATTGATAAATATGAGGAATGGGTCTTATATTTAGGACCAAAACTAACTCAAGAATTTGGTCCTATATTAAGGACCGGAGGAGTAGCAAATAAGTACCCGATCCCACTTTTACAAATATGAGATTGTGGTGAAATATTTGAAATGTCCTTTAACCAAATGACCAGTTGACTATGAGAAATGACAAATTCACTTTAGTGAATAACAACTTTAATAAACCAAATCACAACTTGGTTGGGGGTATATCAAATAACGAGTTGACTATGGGAAATAACAAGTTCACTTTAGCGAATGACAACTTTAATAGACCAAATCATAATTTGGCTATCGGGTATTTTAGATATTTCACCCACATTTCATATTTACAAAAGTGGGACCCGATTTTTATTTGCTACTATTTTTTAAATTTAGGATCTCAAATCACAATTTTAAATGTTGGAAGTTTTTATTTGCAATTTTTCTAAAGAAAAGCTATACTTTTTAGCTTTTCTTTTGCATAAAAGGGAGGGTCAAATAGTGTGCCCGTTGCGTGTATCTAACCGACGGATTCATTCTGCAAGTGCTAATAATACTGTCAATTATTAAACATTATGGCATTAATACTTCCTGTGCTGCCACTTCTGGCTTTTGGTCGCATGTTGTCTGTTATGAATTGTCAGACTTCTGACGAATACCTGTGACCATGTGCACTTTGTTTATAATAGCAAATATTTCGATGAATTAAGTTTCTTCTCAATAAAGTGGTGTTTATTTGTTGGCTTGATTCAGGCAAAAACGAGTGGGCAAGGTTACCTGACAAGAATGATCATGCTTCAATTCATTTAATGATCAAGTATGATTCATTTCATTTCACTCGTTAATTTTTCTGGCTACGAAACAAAATGAGGCGTGATTCTCTTGGTTGGGCGCGGAGTATCCCATACGCAACTTTTATGGCTTATGCGTCACACAATATTCAGGCGTGTGAAAGGTCATATTCTATAATTAACAAGCGCATACTAATCATACTACAGTATCACAATAAATAAGGGTGACGCTTGGAACATTTAGAACGCATAAAATTCTATATTGATTAAGCTATTTTGCAATAGAATTGATTTAACGCCCGCAATCCAATAAATTAACGTATGAAAAGGCAATGAAGCCATACATGCCAGAGAGAATCCTCTCCCGTTATCGGAGCACTTTTCTCAAGATCCACCTCTCTGGGCACGTATAATCTATTAATCTCTGCGCCACAAAGAGAAAGAAAGAAAGAAAGATAAAAAATAGAAATCCCTGGTGTCAGGAGAGAAGGAAAGAACAGAAATCCCTCTCCATTAGAGAATGATGGATCTGGTTTACGAGACAGTCCGAGTCCGGACAAGATATGATTGGAGTTATCCACATTGAGGCTTGAGCGTGATGATGTACCTAGCCGTATGGACACATGGACATCGTCGTCGGTCTGCACTAAGGCACGCCCTCTACTCATGCTATTGAACCTCGGGCTGCCACGCATCTCTGCGTTTCATTTCCAAATAAAGGATAAGTAAAGCTGAATGCCAAAACACCAGAAGGAGAAGGGGAAAAAAAAAGTATAAGCGAAGCTGCTTTTCATTTCCTGAACGGCGAATCCCCCACTTTGTGAATTTTGTGACCCTCCCTCCTACACGGAAGCCTCTATCGCCAGGAGAAAAAAAGCCATGCTTTTTGCTTATTTCCAGTTTCTAACCTCAACCCGTTTCTAGCTCAGTGTTTTACCTGCCACACATGGTTTGTGTGACGGGCATGTCCTAACTCGTTTGATACTCTGCCCCAGCGAGGGAAACTTGCTTTTCACCTGCGCTTGCAGTCAAAGGCTCTCCCTTTTTCCCATGGATTTCATAATTCACTGCTCGGAGAGACATGCGTTTAAAGGGCGTCTCTGGTCTTCAGAGTTGAAAAGTCCCACCTTCATATTTTCTTCACAGTTCGACAGTAAGTCCTCATTCAGTATATTGTGAAGTTCCTGAAGTGACCTTAAAAGCTATTGGGCAGAATTTCCTGGGAGCTTCCTTTGAAAGCGAGACAGGTAATCTTTTTTCTCTTCTTCTCCACTGTTTGACTCTGGGATAGATTCCATGTCAAACATGGGTGAATAAATGCTCCTTCTCTTTTCTTCCCAACTCTCTTTGTCACTATTAATAACCATTCTTTGACAAATTCGGTCATGCTTTCATTTTTTCTAGCGGTTGTTTCACGACGCAAATGTGGAGAATATCATCAGCGCTATAATCTCTTATTCAAGCGTTTAATATTCATCATGTGGTCATTGCATTGGCAGGAATTCTTTGTTTTCGTTTCACTTGCTGACAGGGATCAATAACTCGGCGTGTTATCAGCTACTTCTAATAAAAGCAAAGCAGCGAACACCACCTCTTGGAGATGGCTGAGAAGGATAGTTTATATTCTCCGGGAGATGGGAGGAGAATACTAATTTTCAATTTCTTCAAGGATGGCAGGTATGATATTATAGTTTTTTTATTTTTTTTTAAATCTCTGTCTTGTTTGAAAGTTCCATGCTTGAGAACCTAAACCAGTTGGTTTTGCCCATCAAACCGGAATTACTTACCGTATTTAAGACATCTCTTGGCTGAAAATTTCATCTAGTATAGTTTCATCGCGTGGTGATAAAAATGTTCGTATATATTTCCTCTTACACTTCCTTCTCGCCCTTCAATTTAAGAAGGGATACTGACAGCTGAGTGCCTGAGTTATTAACAGTGGTTAGATTCAGGTTAAGTACTTAAATGTTCAGTATTAAGTTCTCAAATAAGACTCTTTTGCATCTAAAAAATTTCGGAATCCAATTATATGGTGCTTAGCAGTAAAATATATATGCGCGCGCGCGTGTATGATAGTCCCATAAACAGGACAGAGGACATCTGTAAGCCTTGTTCTTTTTTAGTTCAGTTCTATTTTCAGCAAATATTCATATCATTTTCTTTTTCTTACATGTTATTGGTTTCACTTTGACCGCAGACTAGTTTTCAAATCTGACAATCTTGGTCGGGAAATACTGTCTATAGCATTGCCTGCAGCACTGGCTTTGACAGCCGACCCTATTGCCTCACTGGTTGACACTGCATTCATTGGCCAAATAGGTATTTTTCTTGTCATTGGTTTTTTTTTACTTCGAGCTTAATTAAATCAAAGTTTATTATAGTGAGGGTAGTTCTTTGGAAAAAGTAACATCCACAAACGGAGGATAAAGCTTTTTTAATCCAACTGAACATGGGAGAGGGAACATCCAAAACGATAAGCACTGTCTTGTGGGTATTAACTTGAAGTTATTTCGTTCTCAAGCTGCTCAACGACATAGGTTGTGTTGTCAAGCCAAATCTCCTATGTTTGTAAACTATCTTGTAATGCACCTGGGACGGGTTTTTTGTCCGTACAGGTCCTGTAGAGCTTGCTGCTGTAGGTGTTTCTATAGCACTATTCAATCAAGTATCAAGGATTGCGATATTCCCTCTTGTCAGTGTCACGACTTCTTTTGTGGCTGAGGAAGATACTCTTGGTGGAGTGAGTTCTCAAGCAGAGGAGACTGATAACTGGGAAGAAGGTGCACCTATGGATGGTGAAGCCAAAGAGTTTATACCACAAAAAGGTACCCTTCGCCCATTCTTTTGAGTTAAAAAGATAGAGCTGGTCGAGCATTACCCAGGTTTTCTATGGTTCCACTTATCCTTTGGAGCAACAATTTATCGCTCCACTGGGCTATGTATGTAAGTTTTCTACTTAGCATATTCACACCCTTTCCTTTTTCCTGATCAGATACATGTGCTGATGTTCATGACTCAGATTTGGTTGGTGGCAGCTTTAATATAGTTAACACGGAGCGTAAGAGAAGGAATATTCCTTCAGCTTCATCAGCTCTTGTTATTGGTGGAGTTCTTGGCATCATCCAGGCAATATTCCTCATATCTGCTGCAAAACCTTTGTTGAACTTCATGGGAGTAAAATCTGTAAGTACTTTTGGGATGTTTAGAGTATTTTTAATGTAGCTTTCACTTTCAGAAAAGGTCCTCGTACCAACGTGGAATGATTAGTATATAATACAGATTATTTGCACAGGACTCCCCTATGCTAAGCCCAGCTCAGCAGTATCTGACATTGAGGTCCCTTGGTGCTCCTGCCGTGCTTCTTTCATTAGCTATGCAGGGAGTCTTCCGAGGATTTAAAGACACTAGAACTCCTTTATATGCTACAGGTTTGCCTTGATAGACTCATGTAATCACAATGCCAGTGTCACAGTATCTTGCTATCATCCGATTTTAATTGTTTTTTCTGACGTAATCCAGTGGCTGGAGATGTTACCAACATAGCACTAGATCCTCTATTCATGTTTGTATTCCGCCTGGGTGTCAGTGGTGCAGCCATTGCCCATGTTATATCTCAGTATGTTTTAATTATTTAATTTCTATTTAAATGTACTAAGTGCACTGATTTAAGAATGGATGACTCTGCAAGCTTCTTTATGCAACACTATCTTGCTAGTCATCACTTTTTCTTTCCTTTTCTTTTGGTCTTTACTTCTTATTGTTTAAATGTCTGCGAATGTAGGTACCTGATTTCAGTCATACTCCTGTGGAGATTGATTGGACAAGTTGATCTTATCCCCCCTTCCATGAAGCATCTACAATTTGATCGATTTCTTAAAAATGGTCAGGGTTTATCTTTCCTGGACTGATGATCTTCAAAGTGAACAAAATTTATAACTTTATTTAGTAATGCTTTTTGTCCCCTGAATTATGACTAAGCTTGTAGGCCAATGATATGGTGCTCGAGATTATTATAGAAATAAACATTAATTGAATAAATTATTTTCTCCCCCCCCCCTTTGGGTTCAGGTTGATACTTCCCTTGGAGTTGGGGGGTTAAATTAATTAGCAATCGATTGTTGACACAGGTTTGATGTTTTGTGTTTTGTTTTTGTAATTCAGGTTTTCTATTATTAATGAGAGTCATTGCCGTAACATTCTGTGTGACACTTTCTGCATCACTAGCTGCACGGCAAGGATCAACATCTATGGCTGCATTTCAAGTCTGCTTGCAAATTTGGTTGGCAACATCTCTTCTTGCTGATGGTCTGGCCGTTGCTGGGCAGGTTTGATATGATTAGCTCCACTGTTAAACTCTATCATCTCAAAACATTCCTTAAAATATCTGTTTTGTCTTGGACTTGGAAAGCATAAAAGCCGGGGGAACAAACTTGGACATGGAACACTAAGGACTAACTCAATTCCCTCGTATTTTCAAACGCGTTAAAATATTAAAATAATCTGTGCAATGAATCAGGTCATCCAGCTCTAATTAATATATTTTGAATTCAGGAACACTGACCAATTAGTGGTCAAATAAGTAACTATCTGCTGAGTCATTTTCCTCAATTGAAATTACTTTTACTAGGATTTCCTACATCCTGAACTTAATCCTTCCTTGTGTCTTTATCTTATCTCGGGATGCATTCACCCATTAGTTATTTGGTTTCATGTCCTTCCTTGTCGGCTCCAGTAGGTCCAGACATTTTGAGGTGCCACTAATTGCATACACTCGAAAGTTCGATTGATTATGATGACCTATCTCACTTGAGAAACAAGGAAAAAGAAGGATGCATTACTTCTGTTATAGAAAGGGAATATTATATCTGTTTTAGAAAGATGCATTGTTTCACTTTTTAGCGCTTCTTGTTTGCAAAATCTGTAATAGTATTTGGGTTTCAGGCAATCCTTGCTGGTGCATTTGCTAATAAGGATCATGACAGGGCTATAGCAACCGCATCCCGAGTGCTGCAGGTGATTTACAATGAATACAATTGATATAGAACAGGGGAAGAAAGGAGGGAGGATGACTGAATAATTCTCTAAATATCAAAATAATCAAGTCTGCCAACATAGAACAATCTAGGCCTATATATGTTTTTCGTCATATTTTCTCCAAGGCGAAGTTGGTTGATGTAGTGAGCGATTACACTGCAGATGGGCGTGGTTCTGGGATTGGGGCTTGCGATTTTCCTCGGAACCGGGCTGCATTTCGGAGCTAAACTATTTACAAAAGATATTAATGTCCTCCACCTTATCAGTATTGGAACTCCGGTACTTTATTTATGTTCAAATGGGAAAGTATATCGATCTCTGTATCTTCATGAAATTGGAGGAACTTACAAATATATGAATTTCTTATCAGTTTGTTGCAGCCACTCAACCCATCAATTCCCTGGCATTTGTATTTGATGGCGTTAACTTTGGGGCATCTGATTTTGCATATTCAGCCTTCTCAATGGTGGGCATTTTCTTCCATTCCTTTTCATGCCATAAAAATGATGGAGGCGCATTTATATGCGACTCAAACAACCAAAAAAATGCTTCTGAACAATCTAACAAGGAAAACTGCTGCCTCTCATAAGTATTGACTGCTTTTCCAGTAGAAGGAGAAGTATCCATGAAAACAGAAGTAGATTTATTTCGTTACAATCTTCTTTCTCTCAGGTTGTGGTGGCAATTGTCAGCATCATTTGTCTACTTGTTTTGTCCTCTGCTGGTGGCTTCATTGGTATCTGGGTTGCTCTGACCCTTTATATGAGTCTCCGAGCATGTGCTGGCTTCTTGAGGTAGTTATTCTCAAAGATTCTCTTTTCCTAATCTTTTTCTTCTCTTTAAATTCTTATCATCTTTCCTCTGAATTGGTGCAGGATTGGAACAGGATCAGGGCCTTGGGGCTTCCTCCGGAGCTGATGGTTCCATCATCATAGTTTGATACATGATCCCACTTGGGCAAGAAAAGTTTTCTGGGGTTTTATAATTTTATTAGGCATATTCTTCTGAAGGAACCGTGCTATCTACATTGGAATAATCTGCTCGCCCTCGAGAATATGTACAGAAATATATGAAATATATATGATCAAGCTCTCGTGTGACTGCTGAGGATTCGTGAGGTTCATGGTCGTTGATGTCATCGGCGCTCTATCCCCCTTGGTTTCTATTCACAGCAGGTCAAAAGTATGTCTGATGGGTCTCGGTCCGTCAAGGTCTGTAATGATTGGCCCAATTATGTTAAAAATCGTTTTTTTTTTCCAACAATTATTTTATTAAATATTGAATATTGATCAGAGAGACAAATAATTGTTTACACGCCACTCAAATTCAAATATGCGCAGCACTAATGAACAAATTAGTCAAATCATTCTCTTAAAACACACATAATTATTTCAATAACCACATGCTAACTGCTTTTTCAGTAAAAGTAGCATTTCGAGTTATAAATGAAAAATCACTGTGTAATACTCCTCCGATCCTTAATATAAGATCCATTTAACTAATTTGATTAGATTAAGGAAGTTAGGTAAGTTAGTTAATTATAAGAAATGTGACACGTTTTTCCTAAAACACCATAATCATCTTTCTTAATACCCCCTCTCCCTCTTCTACTTGATTATGGTTGAAGGAGTATTTATAGGGGCAATTTAGAGAAAATTGATAAATATGATAAATGGGTCTTATATTTAAGACCACAACCAACTCTACAATTGGGTCCTATATTAAGGACCGGAGGAGTACTATCTTCAATCTTTAATATAAATATTAATTTGATTTTTAATTTGGTCTTAAATATAAGAGTCTAATTTACCTGGTTTTTAATATTTAGCTATTTTTTTTCCTTCAATAACCTATACAGTGATTGCATATCTTATAGAGTTATCATTAATTCTAATTTGAACACATGATTAATAGGATTAATAATTATATCTTAAGGAAGACAACATCTATCTACTATAATAATTAACCTTTTAAATCTTTCTAAATTAGTCAACTAGATCTTATAGGGGGTGTCTGGGTAGCCCTAAAATCACTTCTCATAAAGTATTTTTTCGTAAATCGAGATAAATTTCTTCATATACCGTAAAAGCACTTTTAAAATCAGGGTTTTGTTTCTAGCGAAACACTTCCTAAGTATATATGATAGTAATCATTATTTGAATCTGGTAATAGTAAGTAAAAAATAATTTTTTCAAAGAAAAAACCTTGAGTGAAACCTGAAAAGGGGAAAAAGCAAGACTGCAGGGGAGAGAGGCAAAAGAAAAACGCCCGAGGGGTCTCGCCCTACTTCCTTGGCGGACGCTGAAAACGTTGTCGTTTTATAGGGGCGGGCCCCTTGCTTGCCGTCTCTCGTATAAAGGATGTGCCACACTCTCTGGGCTCCATCTTCATAAGCCCTCCGGCCATCGCCCGCTCGTTAAACGTGATCTTTGCCACTGCGGACATCCCGGTGAACCCTTGTATCGTGAGGTTCAAGGTACATTTCCTAAACTCAGGTTTTCTGCTGCCAAATTACAAGTTACATGATCTTCGATAACTCGGAAAATTCTTTATTTTCTTTTTCAGCTGGTTATTGCTTGGTCGGGGTTTAAGTTGTCGAACCGAATCGAACGCAGTTGTCTTTTAGATTCAGGTACCGGATCTTTTGGCAAAGCTTCAAGGTTACATCTTTTCGCCATGTTGTGCTTTTTGGTTGCCGAGACGTTGGAGGAATAAGGAATCCATCATCTCAGTACTCTTCATTTCATGCCCGCCCGGACTGAATACCCGTTCCTTTTTTCTTCATTCCAATTTTTTCCCCATAGTCTGTGTGCTAATCTTTGCCTTTTCTTCTTGTGAAAACCGATGCTGTACCGACTTTCGGGCAATTTCTGATTACCTTTTTTTTTTTTTTGTTGCTTTTGTATGTCTTGTTGAAATTGAAAGTGGTCCCTTCCTGCATCAGAAATATTAGTTGTTGTTCTTGTTTTCATGCTTTCACGTGGGCGTGATTAACTGTGGGATAGGCGGTAGTTAGTTTATGGTACGGAAACTAGTATTTTACTGATCCTTTTTCCAATTTTTGAAGAGCCCGTCTATCGCGTTATATAATGTCAAGTAGAATACTTTCAGTTTGTTTCGTAATTACTTGTCTGATTAATGCTCTGATGTCTTTCATTCATTTCATTTCCCATTTCGATTGGTATATGTTATATGTGAGATACTCGCCCTAATGTGTTCAGGTTTTATGCATGCTTGGAGCTGAATCCAAATTTACAGGTCAACATGGGATTTGATAACGAGTGCATAGTGAACATTCAATCCCTTGCTGGAGAATACTTCTGTCCCGTTTGTCGGCTTCTTGTTTATCCAAATGAAGCATTGCAATCTCAATGTACTCATTTATACTGCAAACCATGCTTGACCTACATAGTGAGCACTACAAGGGCTTGCCCTTATGATGGATACCTAGTGACTGAAGCAGATTCCAAGGTTGTTTTCCTTCTATTCTTTCCAAGGTGCTCCTGTGCGAACTAGCTTATTCTGGTGCTTATGTGTAACTGCTCATTGCAGCCTCTCACAGAGTCAAATAAGGCACTTGCTGAAACTATTGGAAAGGTAGCAGTTCATTGTCTGTATCACAGGAGCGGATGCACGTGGCAAGGATCTCTGTCTGAGTGCACATCTCACTGTTCTGGATGTGCTTTTGGCAATTCTCCTGTTGTCTGCAACAGGTGTGGGATCCAAATAGTGCATCGTCAAGTACAGGAACATGCACAAAACTGTCCTGTGAGTTCCACTTATTCGTCTTATTTACTGATAGTTGATTATAAAAAATTTTCTTATGTATTTATTTTTAATAGGGTCGATTCTTGTGCTTGTTGATTACCAGGGGGTGCAAGCTCAGGCGCAACAGCCTGAGGCTACCCAGAACCCTTCAGCTAGTGGTGCTGATGCTTCTACTGATCCAAACCAGACTGCTGCTCACGTTGGAGCGACAGCTTCTCAAGCTCTTGCTTCTCAGACTGTGGCTGCAACTACTGCACCTGGGCAGGATATGAATATGCTAGCCAATACAACTCCTCAGACTCAATCTTCAGTTCCGACTGTTGTGCATCCAAATGCAGAGCAATGGTATCAACAACAGCAATATCAGCAATACTACCAGCAATACTCCGGATATGACCCATACCAACAGCAGTATCAACATCAGTATCCCTATCAATCAACTGTGGCTCCACAGTACCAGCAGTACACACAGGCTTATGGCCAGTCCCAGCCTCAATCTCAACTGCAGCCCCAGCCTCAGGCTCTAACACAAGCTCAGCCACAACCTCAACCACAGCCTCAACCACAGACTCAGGCACAGGGGCATTCTCAATCAATTCCCCATGCACCCGTGGCCCTGCAGTCTCAGAACCACATGCAAGTTAGCCAACAACAGCAACTTCAGCCTACTGTACAGCAGCATAGTCAGATTCAGTCACTGGGGAACCCATCTGTCCATGGCCCCCCTCAGTCGCAGCATTATCCATATCTTCAAGGTCAACCTGCCCCCTCTCAGCCTCAATCCCAACAATCTTTGCAAATGCCTCAATATCAGCAGCCTCATCCTCAGATGCAACAATCACAACCTCAAGTTCAACAGCCAGCTCAGAATTTTCCAATTTCTCAACCTCAGGTTCATCAACACGTGCCTCATGCTCCAGTCCCACATATTTCCCAGTCCCAGATGCATCCACAACAGCCCAACCTCCCCGGGGCTCTTAATCTTCAGCCTCAAACGCAAAATACGTCAGCACATGCAGTGACAGGTCATCACTCTTATCCTCAACCTCAGGCTCATCAGAATATGCAGATGGGAGCCCCTCAACGTCCTATGAACATGCATCCTCCTCAGGGTGGGCCTTTACCCCATTCTCAGCGGCATGGCCAGATGCAGAATCAATTCCCTCAGCAATTTCCAATGATGCGTCCCCATCAATCTCATGCTATGTTTCCAAATCAGCAACAGCCCGCATTGTTTCCTGCATCTGTTCAGGGCCAACATATTCCTCCTCAACAGCAACAACTTTATGGTCCTGGTCAACAACCTGCCCAAGTCAACCATCGTCCTGTTGTGCAGCCATTGCCTCCACAGTCTTTTGTACAGCAGCAGATGCCTATGCCATCTCACCTACGTCCCCAAGGTCCAGCTCCTTCATTTCCTGAACATGCTCAAACTTATCCGCAGCAGCTTACAAATGTTGCATTATCACATAACCCTCAGTCCAATCAGTCTCAAAATGCCATGGGGAGGCCTTTGTTGCCCAATCATACAGTGCCATCACAACCATTTGCACAAGCTGCTAATGTCTCCCTGGTTAGGCCGACGCATGCTGGTGCTGGCCACTTGCATGGAAATCAGAATATGATTGTTGGGCCCAATAATCAAGTACAGGCCTCTTCGGATCTGCTGTCCAGATCTTCAGATCCATATGGCAAACAAGGTGCTCTCAATGAGAAAAAATCTGATTCTGCTTCTGGAATACCTGGTAAAACCGTGAAGGATGTGGATAAAATGCCTTTATCAGAATCAGAAGTAAAAATTGGAAAAGAAATTAAGCAAGATGAAGTTGCGAATGAGCAAAATGGTGAAGGTGTGCAGCCTGGGCAGACAACAGGCATGAATGCCAGTGCACTAGGAAATGCTAATGTGTTGAACAAAAATTCTGTGAAGGAAGAGGCTGCTGGAAGTAGTTGGCAGCCTTTAAATGGAGATAAATCAGGTGATGCGGTATCTGGGGTTCAGAGCAATACTGTCAATGACCATTCTGGTGTGAAAGACAAGGAGATTCAAGATGATCATCGGCTGAATGATTCACAACCTGGTAAGCAGCAGAATGATGATATGCCCACTTCAAAACCTCCTTTGGATGCTGATAATGCTGCCTCAGGTGTCGCCCAAACCCCTGGTACTCCTCAAGGTCCTGGGGTTAATGAACACAGAAATATAACTCCACTTGGTCATGGGCAGTCTGGTGGATGTCAGCTTTCTCGCCCAGATCTCTTTGCTGATCAGGGCAAGTATCGTAGCCCTGCCGGCCAAAGTTTTCTGGCTCATTCTAGTGGAATTCCAAGTCGATACAACCAAGGTCAAGCACCTTTTCATCTTGGTGCATCCAATTTGCCAAGTGTTGAATCCGGTGTAAGGCCACAGTTTGGTACTGGAGATGTGCGTGGTGGAACAACAAATTTACCACCACATGCTTCTGAATCCTACCCGCATCCAAGGCCTGGTTACTTTAATGGTCCCCATGGTGTTGGATCAGATGAAGAAAGGTTCAAGCCTTTCCCCATTCCTGGCCAACACAATATTGAACGAAGAGAGTTTGAAGGTGATCTCAAGAGGTTCCCTGCGCCTTATGCAGATGCTGAGCCCATTTCAAAATATGGGGGCCATTCTACAGGTCCACATAATAGAGGTTCCCATGAGTTAAATTATAGCAGTGGGTCAAAGTTGAATCCTGCAGATGGTGTTACCTCAAGATTGTTTCCTCCCCCTTTTTCTTTAAATGATGTTGGAGATAGACCAATTGCTTTCCATGATGATGCCATGGTGAAATCTGATACTCATCGCAGTGATTATCTTGGAATAGGTTCAAGACATGGGATGCATCACATGGATGGTCCAACTTCGCGAAGTCCTATTGGTGAACATGCTGAAATGTATTTGGGGAGAGCTGGTGTCCATTCTGTTGGTATTGCTAGTAAGTCAAGCGTGTATGACTTTGATGGAAGAGATCCACGTCATTTTGGTGACTCATTTGGCAGTGCATTCCGTGATAGTAGATTTTCTAATTTGCCGAGCCATTTTCATAGAGGTGAGTTTGAGGGTCCTGGTAGCATGCGAGTTGGTGAACATCCAAGGGGTGAATTCATTGGTCAAGATGACTTTACTGGGCATTTTCGGAGGGGTGATCGTTTGGGTCCTCATAACATGCCAAGACATTTGCCATTTGGGGAGCCTCTTGGTTTTGGTGCCCCTGCTGGTCATGTGCGAGCTGCTGAACTTGGTGGTCGTCACAGTTTTGAATCTTTCAATAGAGGTAACAGATCGGGTCACCCGCGGCTTGGTGAGCCTGGGTTTAGGAGCAGCTTTTCCTTTCCAGGGTTTCCTAATGATGGTGGACTAATAACGGTTAAGTATTGACTCATTATATATTTATTTTCTGCCCATTGTACTTGAAGAATGATTAAGACTCGAGCTATAAAGTTGGGTCAATTTAAATTTTAATATTTTTGAAACTTTTAAGATTTCTTCCCCTTGCTATTTATATATACCTTTGTGCGTGTTTTCTTTTGTGTTTTTCAGGGAGATATTGGATCCTTTGATAATCCGAAGAGAAGGAAGGCAAGCATGGGGTGGTGTCGGATATGTAAAGTTGACTGTGAAACTGTTGAAGGGTTGGACATGCATTCTCAAACAATGGAGCACCAGAGGATGGCCGTGGATATGGTTAAAAGCATCAAACAGAATGCTAAAAAACAAAAATTGTAAGTTTATTTTCTGATTGTTAGAGTAATGACAACAATAATCTCTAACAGTTGTCATTTTGGAGACAACGATTTCTTTGATTCTTCTAGAAAACTTAAATTTTCCTTGGGAAGATAAACCCCTTTATTGCTTTGTAATGTGATTTATTCACTAATTTTTGTAGAACACCTAGTGAACAATCCTCAATTGAAGATGGGAGCAAGTCAAGAAATGCTAGCTTTGAGGGCCGTGGAAATAAGCACTGAGCTGTAGGGGTTTGCTGCAACTCTAGTCTTGTGTCTCACTTGTGCACTTCTCATCAAAAGATGTTCCTGTGGCATTATTGCATTTAGCAATACTCATCTCTCTATGCCATTTTCTAGTTGAGGTGGTTTATGTTACTTTTGTCATTTCAGGTTGCTGCCATGTTAATGGGGATGGTTTTTGGATCTGGAGTACTGTGGCAGTTAAGTTTAACGGCTTTTGAATTTGAAATCTATAATTTGAAACTAGGATAGTTTTCTCGATTTGTTATAGCAAAGAGTTTCTACCTTCTCGTTTTGCGTATGATGAGGTACAATTTTTCTAGATAGCAATTATGCCCTATCTTTATAGCTGCTCCATGATAATTTCACGTTTATTGTAACTGAATATTCTAGTCTAGATTGTCTTGTTCCTTGATGCAAAGTTTGAATCTTCAGATTTTCTATGCTTATGACTGCACCATGTGTAATTATTTGAGTAATTGGATATCTGATAATAGAATGTTACCCTGTTGTAGACTGCAGTACACTCATTCATAAAGGGTTCTTAAATTGCATCATAATTGTCAAATTAAGCCTTAGAAACCTACCAAGGAATTTGAATTTATCCACCGGATCATTTGGAGAATAAATTTGATGATGCAAATTTGCTTCGGAATTCTTACTAACAGGATTTCCATAACGAGCTGCATAATTACAAAAGTAGAATTGGTTTCATACTGTCAAGTCGTACTCTCAATTTAGTTCAATTCAGTTGTTAGCAATAGATAAAACACCTGATATTTAGCTAACGACTACTTAACACGTGTTAAAATGGAAAGGAGGAATCCAAAATTTTAAAATTTGTTTCTTTTCTACGAAGAGGGATTTCCTTGGTGACTTGAAAGGAACAGGATTTGACCGAATCCTTTAGAAACATGGTGATTGACAGCGAATTTTCCATCTAAAATCTTCCTAGATTTCAACCTATGTATACACGTGGAACCTGATAAACTTGCTTAGGTGGGGATGAACTGAAACATGGATCACCATTTCAGGAGAATCAATATTTGCCCCTGTTTTCATAGGAAAAGCATTCACTAGGTTTATCTGGAGACTTTTTCCCTCCTAGTAATGAGAATTTTCTTTTTTTCCTTTGTGAGAGATGCGACTGTTTTCTTATTCCCTATATAATATGATCACACAATTCTTTAATGCCCCTCCTAATTGTTGGAGGTAAAGGTGGAATTCTTTATCGTTTTAAAAACTCATAATTAACTGTTCTACACCAAACTGAATATCAGAAGTTTATGATTTATCCTGCCCTTCTATTTCTTTCCTGATTAGCCATCCAACAAGAAGTTTGTCCTTTTCCATTCCTTATTATTGGTTGCCTTTTTCTTTTCATGCCTTCCTATTCGAGGCTTTTTATACTTTGCTAGACTTTTTAAATTGGGTCGCTAGACCTTATTGTGATCCTGTGTAGTTCTTCAATTGGACTGCAATATGTAAATGAAGGTTTACAATTGTTAAACACTCCAGATTTTTAATAATTTTGGACTCTATTGTTACTTAGCCTCGATGTTGTAATTCTGCTGCCAACAATTTTGATATTTTTATCAATGACAAGACTAGTCTTAGCATTCTTGTTGCTAAGGAGAACGGTGTTGTGTGCCAGATTGGAGTGCCATGTAGTGGTACTTCCATCGGATGTGTGAGGGTTTTGGAGTAGTCATTGGTCAATTTGGAGTAAACAATAAAACAACAATAAGGATGCCTGTGATTGTTTGTTTGAAGCATGAAGTAGAAGAATTGTGTGCCTTAAGTTTTGGAGTATTTGTTGCGTTTGAGCAATATGAACTACTTTTCTTGTAAATAGTGCAATATTATATTGGTGCAGTGCTGTGTTGTTGTTGTTGTAGAGCAATGTGTTCTGATGCTTCGTTTGAAGGAGTTTAAATGGAATAGTGGCTGGGTGAATCAATTGGTTTTAACAGATGTTTGTTAACTAGGAGACTTAGGCCACATCAATCTTCGATGCAATGTGACGCAATGTGACATCAGCTGTTAGCTTTTGATGGTTCTTTGGAAAGTATAGTTGTGAGTGATGTTACAAATTACATTCATTTAGGTTAAAGCTTGGAGAAGTCATTTTTTAAAGTAATATTGGGAAGAAAATGAAACAAATATACTGGTCAAAATAGGATGCGTTCCCCAAGTAAAAGTCACCTTTAGTGCATTTCTGTCCTTTCATTAATTTGAATTGCATACCAAAATTTCTAAGTTAGCTATGCTTTTTGATGTGATGTAAGTAAATTTTTTTTTATTTGTGGTAAAATTTCTTTTCTATAATAGATTTTGAATTCATCCTATCTTTGTTCGGGGGAGCAGACAACAAAAGGCTGAAACTTCAGTGGAACAATTTACCTGGTCGTCTTTGTATGTGCTGTGGTAAGAATTTGCTGGTAGCCAACTTACAACCTAGTGTTGAATTCTATGCTTGGTGAAATTTTTTGGCGCTTTCCTTTTGCCTTTTTCAACAAGTTATTGCATAGTTCGTACTCAAGGCTAAATTGCTGGAGTTGAAAGCCTGATATTAGTATTATTTATGAAGACTGCAATAACAAAAAATACTTGTGTGGTTTTTATGTAATCTTTTACATGATTGGGATCTAAATTAGCTGAGGTGAACGCGTTTGTCTAAGCCAAACCCGAAGCCTGACAGAAACAATTGGTTTTAATGATTATAAGTGGGCTAATATCTCTGGTTTGAACTTGCTTGGGTTATTAATCAAAGAAGGTGAGCGGGATTTTATCAGTGAAAAAAAAGAGGGGGGGGGGGTTAGGGGGTGGGGATGAGTGATCTGAAAGTGTGTTGGTGTATTTTTTATGACTTGGAACTTGGAAGTAGTACAGGGTCCTTCATATAGAATGGTAAAACATACTAACAGACAAAATACTCTTAAATATTATGAAAGGACACAACAGCCTAACAGACTTGAATTCCTTCAACACCTGTCAATTCGAAGCACTCTTCTACAACTCATATGCACCTAGATGAGTTCTGAATTCATCAAGAACAGTGCTTGGGGTTCCCTTTGTGATTGTTGCATATTGTGATGCAACAACCACAGATCTTTACAAATGAGAATTTTCCAACAAATCAGTACCTTGCTTTCTTGACTTCAACCCAGAAGCCACATGATTGGAAATGCCCATCGCATTTTTCTTGTCATCCCTTTCAGAGGGTCTTTCACATACTTGATCTGTAACAGCTTAATTGAGCCATCCTTTTGAGGGCCTTCACTTCAATACCTTGAAAATAGCTAAGTGAGCCAAGATATTCGATGAAAATCCCCTTCCCAGCTTTTCAATCGTATCTTTAATTCATTGATCTGTGGAACCTGTGATGAGTATGTCATCCGCTTAAACCAAAACGTAAGTTGCATCAGTAGGTGTGACTCTAAATGAAAATTAACGGTCACGTTTGCTCAGCTGAAACTTGTATTTAATCAAGGCAGCACCCAATCTTTCAAACCAAGGGCTTGTTTCAGGCCATATATAGCCTCATTGAGTCTACCCAGTAATTGATTGTTGCTGCTTTCAAAGCCTGGGGCTTGTTGCATATAATCTTCCTCTTGCAACAGTCCTTTGAGGAAAGCATTATTCCCATCAATTTATGAAAAAGGCCATCCTCTAGTGTGAGCTATAAGGACAAGACTTTATAACTGGACCGAATGCTCCTTTGTAATCGTGCCCCCCTGAAACCCTTTTGTAACCACGTGGACGTCTAGCAATTGAGCCATCAACATTTTTCTTGATTTTGAACGCCTTTATACATCCTACTGCTTCTCTTCCAGGTGCTAAATTTACTAGTTACTGGGCATCATTGTTCATTAGTGCTTTATACTCTCCTTCCATAGCTTTCTTCAACTGAGGAGTATTGGGGGCGTCAATAACAGAGTTAGGTTCTGTTCTTCAAATACCCTTTCAATTTCCTGACATGGAGCAAGTAACAAGATTGATAAAACATTGTGAGAAGTCCCTGGGCTGCTGTGAGACAAATCTGAACTATTACAACGTTAACTTGTACACTGTACAACTCCGGAGGCTAATCTATTTGATTCCTCTCATTCATTTGTTGATTGCTGAACAGAAGAGGAGCTTTGCATGCCTGATTGGTGTGAATCATGATTTCTGGATGTCTGATTTTTTGAAAAGTCCAGAGCTGCTGCTTCTGTTAGGTTCTGATTCTGAATATTTGGAGCCTGAAAAGTTAGGATAATTTGAAAAAGGAAACTAACTATTGTACCAGGCTCTTGTTCACTGGTTGTTGAACAAGTGCTTCGATTTAATTACTTCTACACTCCTTAACAAAATTCAGCTACATACTATGAGCAAGGTTTCTATTTTTGCCTGTTGGAACTGGTGCTTCAACAAGTGACCGAGTTTGTGGAGTGGGGGTGAGTCATATGCTTTCTGTTTTATGGCTGTAAATCACTGTTTTGACATGATTTTTTTTTTATGTTGAATGATCATAATGGAATCCTTCTAGCGCAATGCTTGTGATAACCTTTGTATTGGTCTGATGTGATAGAATGTTCTAGTTTTGCTTTTCATGCTATCATGTTGGAAATAACATTTAGGGTGTCAGCTAGTTTTTTTGACTCACAAGGAGAGAATATATCCTGATGGTATAGTGGTGTTAGATAAAATGGAGTAATTAATTTGTCTCCTGTTATTCCCATGTTGTTGAATTTCACGTACTATTGCTAAAATCTCATTTTGCTAGTTAAGATTTTGTATCATCTTTCAATATTTTGATCACTGTCTTTTGGGCTCTAATTGAATCTGAGGTATGCTTATTTGCAATTATGGGCTTCAATCTGTCCCTCGCCATATATTTTTTATTCAGGTTTGCGCCTTTTAATACTTAATTTTTGTTACTAGACTCTATTTGAACTTGAAAAATATCCTGTTGCCTTCGCGAAATATATGTTATTGGCCCATTGGTTCAAATATTTATTGAGTCTATCATTTGTTGACTGCCCAAGTTGTGTAGTCTGATGTTAGTGCCGAGTGCCCATGATTTATTTTTTTGCTGTACAACTGTGTAATATAGTAAACAAATGTCTGGATCAAAGTTCTTTCCCTTGCAATTTGCCATGATTCTACAATTAGTTTTACTCACTCAGAACTTCAGAAGCGAAGGTTATATTCTAAAATCATAGAAAAGCCTTATTTTTATATGGTTATCAAATTAAGGATTACCTCTAGTTAGGCATGCCTTTAGTTAACTGGCCTGGAAATCTGTAATCAGTCAAACAAGAGATCAACTTTTTATAAAATTGGCTAATAGCTAGAAGAATCGCTCTTACTGTTATTGCGTAGCTCCTCAAATAGACTTGGAGCGTGACATCAAACCCTTCGAGAGCCTTGCAGTAGTTACTGGAAACTTTGGAAATAGCTGGAATGCTGGTTAATTGGATGCAATGGGCTAAAGAGAAATGATTGCACCATCTGATGCTTTAGTGATGTGTTAGGGTTTTAGATGTTATACAGATAGTTGCAGGGAAATATGCGTCTAAGCTCTACCATTATCTGAGTAAGAAACAAGTTTAGGAACATCTAATTCAAAATTTTTGCATGCCTAGGTAACAATTTTTTCTTTCTCTGTGAAAAGGATGCATTTAGTAGACCAGGCCATGTTTAGCAAATATATAATCCCTTGATATGTATGAAAATCAGTAGTGTCATGAGGGTATATAGTCCGGTCCTTGGCGATGGGAAAGCAATTTAGAAGATAATTTAGCAGGATTATATCTCATTTTACACTAAAATGAATCGCTTGTGAAGTTGAAATTGATAATAGATAGGATTTTGTCAATCGTACAAGTCTACCTAAATATTGGGTTGGAACATCGGTTTAAAGAAGCATTAGCATAACTCAAGGCGGGGCCAAAGCAAGTTTTGCATGACCAAAAGAAAATTGCTCAGGTGATTGTGTGGCCCCTCATGTGCGAGGTATTATTCCATTATATATTCAGATCTAACATATTATTTTGAAGTTGGGAAAGAATTTTTTTGCAAGGAGCATGTGAATGAAGAATCTTGCTTGTTTGGGCATTCTGTGGTGTGTCGTATCATTTGTGATGTGGCCGGTGCAAATTTATCATTGTTTTATTCTGCTACCGGAATTGATGTAAGTATGCTGAACGATGGTGAATGTGATGCTTAATTGAGAGCAACGGGAGATGTGTGTTATTGTAAATTGCTGATTCCCCGTGTCTCCGACGGACAGTCATTAGCATGCCGGTGGATAAAGTTAAGCGAAGGGGTGTGAAGAGGAAACTACATAGTACATACGGAGTACTTTCGCTATGTTTCGAGTAATAAGAAGTTGAGGTGTTAAGCAACCTGCTGCCCAAGGAGTTGCCATTCTCCATCACCTGAACTTGCTACAGCCGTGTCTCCCACAATTTTCTCTTTTGCTATCAAAAATAATAGTCAGTAGTCACTTAATGCAGATTTGAATCTCCTCGAGGGACACTCAGATCAAAAAAATAAAATAAAGAAAAAATAGCGATATTTACCCTAAAGGGCCCCCTTTTTCTGTTGTAATTGTATTTTCAGTGACAAAAAACAATGGCAGTGTAATTTTCTGGCCTTGTTTAATGTTACATTACTCCATTCATGTTTTCCACCTCCACTTTCACATGGTGAATGTTAATCGTTCTTCTTTTTACCTTTTATTCCTCCGCAATGTATAATGGGCTCCAGGTGTTCTGCAGGGGCAAAATTTCTTTTTTGAAAAAAAAAAGATCTCACGGCAACCTTGGAATTAGGGTGCAACGGTCATGCTATGGAGAAATGGAAACGTCGATTTCTCTACTATTATTTTGGGTTCTAATTATAAAAACTAATTGATTAATTTGAGGAGATTAAAAAAATAAGTTAGTTATCTGTAATAAATAGGTGTTTTTTTTAAAATATTCTTGCTAATCAAATGTGTTGGTTAGAAATACTATTAGTAGAAGAATTATTTGGAAAAAAATGTATAAATACAAGAAATAAAGTGGATTAGGGTCTTATAATTATAATCAAATTAAAAGTCAAACGAAGTATTATATTAAGGACCGGAGATAGTATTATATTGTGGAGACATATATTGAAAATACTAGAGGCCCCACAGTGATGAATTCTAAATAATTTTGACCATTTAATTGTCAAATGTCCATCTTATCTACAAAATTTAACTACACGCGTACTTTGCGGGCAAATAAAAACTAGGTCTTGTTGTTTTAAAAAAGAAACTATGTTTAATATGTATATATAATTGTAATATTTTATCTTTGGGGGAGCTGGACAATAAAGGATAATTTATTCTTGATTTCTTTGGTACATTTTTTTGGCCAGCAATTTCTTCCATATATACTATCTCCAATTTTTAATATAAAAGCTTATTTAATTTTTAATTTGATCTTAAATATAAAATCTCAATCTACTTTGTCTTTTATACTTATCCACTTTTTTCAAAGTAGTTCTTGTAATAGTTATACATGTTAAGGTTTCCATCAAATGATAATTCTAGCTAATATACATGATTAGTAAGGATACTTTAGACAAAACAATACTTATTTATTATAAATAACTGACTTAACTAATTTTTTTAATTTCTCCAAATTAGTCAATTAGGTCTTATATTAAGAACCAAAGATATTACATCTTAAAATTGTTAGTAGTTACTGCTTTAGGAGGAGTATTTAATCATTACAATAGAGCCTAGAGATTGCAAACCTTTTTAATAAGGAATCCTAGTAAAAGGGGGCAAAAATTGCAAAGTGATTGCTAAGGATTACGTGACAACGCAAGGTGTTAGTCCTTGATCTTGGTGTACCTATTGGTGGCAATTAAAGGATTGGAAGCTGGAGATTTTCAAGAAAAATATTTTAAAAGAAAAGGTTTGGGAGTCACATGAAAATGCTTCTTTAATAATTATTTGCTAAGGATATGGTCATACTATTTTTTAATTCAAATGAAACACGTCTGATCAAATTTACAACTTTTTTCGTTATAGGAGATTTTTTGTGCCAATAAGCTATAGGACTATTGGTGATGTGATCCTAAATTTTTCTTTTGTGGTCCTACGTTGTGCTTTGCAGCATGCAAAGCGGCCCGTTTCAGTTGCGTTTAAAACGCCGGCGTTTAGTTCTCACACCTGGTGCGTAGGCATCCACGCACGGAATCCAAATCCGGGAAAGTAAGAAGTGAGTTTGGGCAGCAGCCGCCGAAGGGAGGAGAGGAGTGATCTCAGCTTGGCAGGGAAGCGAAGGCACCAGAATGGGGACTGCTCTTGCTAGGACACCCCAATCTCTTCGAAACTCTCATTTCGTCAGATTCTCATTCAGCCTCTTCAGAAACTTGACCTCTGCTTCGTCTTCGGCTTCTTCTGCTTCTCAGAACCCTACATCCTCCAAGAAATCCAAGAAAAGAAAGAAGAACTTTTTCGAGGTCGCTCAGTTCTTGCCTAGCTGGGGAATCGGATACCACATGGCCAAGACTCACTGGACTGACGTCTCTTACGAAATCACCAAAATCAATCTCTACAAGGTCTTTTTCTCCCTTTGAACTTTACCCTTCTCCACCAAATGCACCTTTGCATTGTTTTGTTCAGTGGCTTACATTATATGTCTCTACCGCTTTTGCAGGATGGAAGGCATGGCAAGGCATGGGGCGTAGTTCATAAAAATGGTCAGTCCTAAGTTTCCTACCAGCACTTTATTCAAATAATTGTTGGTCCCCACCCCCTCTTTCGCTATTGTCATCTTAGTTTTGCCTATCATACTGGTAAAACGATTATCTCTGCCAGTACATAAGTGGATCCTGACAATCGTTGAAGTCAGTAATTATATGCTGCACTACCATCCTTCAATGGGACTATAGGTCAAGATAGGGGTGAGCAACAAACCCATTACCCGCTAGCCCGCCCATAACCCATGAATTTTTTGCCCATTAAACGGGTTGGGTTATGGGCGGGGTAGCCCATTAAACGGGTTGGGTTATGGGCAAGGTATTGGGCTGCCCATACCCGCCCATTTAAGTTTTAAGTTTTTTAAAATATTTTTATTTTTCATTTAATTGATGATATTGTTTCTCATTCATATTTTATCAAACCTTCATACTTGTCTAAGTTTTTATTTTATCCTTTAGGTAAAAGTTGGAACTTTCAAAGTTTATGAGACTTTATGATTGGTGACTATTTTTATGATTTTATCAGACTTTAATTGTTTGCGAATCTAAGTGAGGTTGTGTGATTGAATATGGTTAATGTTATTTCATATTTGATTTGCTATTTGGCATGTAAAATTTATTGACAGCTTCATAAAGTTATATATATAAAATAATTATACTGAAAAAAAAATTAAAAAAATAAATGGGTTACCCCATAACCCGGTCAGCCCAAACGGGCTGCCCCGTAGCCCATTTAATATGGGCTAAATGGGCTACTACCGGGTTATGGGTTAGCCCATACCCATTTATGAATAAATGGGCGGGCTATGGGCTAACCTTCGGGTTAGCCCAGCCCGCCCATTGCTCAGCCCTAGGTCAAGATCGCCTTTCTGATGGATGAATTGTCCCATTGTCAGTGATTATGGCTCTGCAACCTCATTTTCTCAGAGATATTGTTAGGGCTGGGGAGTTTTCCATCTCTCGTGTTCAAGAATTTAATCGCATTTGTATAATGTGTCTCGTAACTTTTTGTTCCTTATATAATCTTTCTTGCTACATGGTAGTATTTACAGTTCGTACCATTAGCAATGTCTCTCAATCTCTTTAGTGCAATCTATAAACCACAGAGAAATAACTGAATGGATGATGAGTATATAACTTTTGAACTCCTTTTGGCTAATATTACATTCGTTACTAATGCTGTTTCATTCTCCCCTGGGAAGCTTTATATTCATCCAGACTTAATCGGTTGAATTGATGCTTAGTTGAGTTTATTTCTGTTGCTTATGGGTTTGACTTTGAGTAAGGTGCTAGTTCAAGTTATTTTCTTCTTTAATTTTTTTGATAAAAAGTCAAAGTTATTTTTCTACCATAAAGTATATTACGTGAATGCTGAAGGAAAAGATGGCCAGAGTTATGTCTGGTTATTCTACCTTAAAAAGAATATTTTGTATAATTTTTTTTTGGGGGGGGGGGAAGCGATGCACTTGGCTATTCAATGATCGCATTGCATTGAAGCAGGCGTGTTTTCATACAAGCGTGTTCACTTTAGTATTCAATTTCTGAAATCTTCGGCAGAATAACGAAGTGGTTAGTGTAAAGACATTTTGATTGTGATGTGCTTCTTGCTAGATAATGTCATCTTGTTTGAGAAAACTCCCGAGGTGTATTTTTGTGACTCTTTTGAAAAAATAAAATCGTTAAACTAGATCAAGAGCATCTTATCACAGGTCTCGCTCTGAAGACATAACTTTGTGATGGAAACATTCCTATGTGCGAACTTAGTTGATTGTCCGTGTTATTCAGCTTTTCTTATTCGTTACAACATATTGCAGGCTTGCCTGCGGCAGACTCGCCAAAGAAGATTAGTGGAGTTCACAAACGATGCTGGAGATACATTAAAAATGTAGTAAAATCATCGGAAAGCTGTCCAAACTCAACCGGTTCAGCAGACAATGGCCAGAAAGTTGAAACCCTAGCAAGCTGATATATTCCTTTTGCTTTACAGACTACAGCTGGGGGCATTCCTTGAATCTGCGACAATGCTTGATATTATGCATAACATGTTTAGGCATTTTATGACCTCTTGGTATCACAAAAATTTTCATTGGCTTAGTGGTGTATTGTGACGAACACAATGCAGTCAGTGCGTATGAATCTACCGAGATATGAAATTGAAGTTGTTCCTATCAATTCCATTTCGGTTCTGGGAGGTTGATATGTTTCCCAAATATTTCTCGGGGATATCAAAACGAAAAGGAATGCAGAATATTGGGCTTCAAAATTAGGCCCATGCATTTTTTTATCCTCGTACAGCTCAAAACTATATGAACTTTTTTAAAATAAATGACGTCTTATCGCCCTCGAGAATTTTGCGGCCGAAAAGAGAGTTTTGGACACTTGGCCCACTAATCCTTGGCCTGGGAGTATTTCAATTTGTTTGAAAAATAATGTGAAATTAGACCAGCAATTCAATGTCTTTGATGAAAAGCAATTCGAAAAATATTAAAAAAGACGATGGTCTCAAGGCCCAGTTGATTAAGAACCCTTGCGGCCCATTACATAAACGGCCAACCCAACAACGGGTCGTTTAAAATCAGGGTCAAAATGACCAGTCACTTTGGCATAATCTCTACGGACCCCACAACCCCTGCCCCGCAGAATGACACAGGTCATCATTTGAAGTGTCCTTTAGCTGAGGCCGAAGTGGTCTGCTAAGCGATGCGTAGCTACGTAAAATGTGTTTATTAGTGATTTTTAAATGCTAATCCAAGCATCGAATCACTGGGTTTTTGTGACACTTAGTTCATTTTAACATCGGATCTCGTCCGTTTACTGGTTAAGTGGTTATGTTACCATCTGCACTGTAATTTACTCCTTAACCCTTTGTGAATCTCTAGGGTTTTGGCGCACTTCATTTTGACCTCTGCTATCAAATTTGGGGACCCTGGACACTAGTTCTGTTAGATCCAACTCGTTCTCGAATTTCAGGCCTTTGTTTCTTATTTCGGCGTGTTCGCGTGCAAGTACTCGAAATTTCCTTTGGTCTTGCTCTACCCTTCATTCTTATCCACTGAATTTGTCTGATTTCTTGTTAATTTTTAGGGTGCGATGGCTGCCAACAACAACATGCCTTCGACTTTGGATAAAGAACAGGCAGGTCCCCCCCCCCCCCCTTAAAACATTTTGTTGGTTTTTCCGATAGAGGAAAGAATTCCAGTGCTCCTTCCTATTCTGGTTAGCATTTTTTGTTGCCCTCATTCATAATTTGAAGTCATGTCGACAATGTGATCATTAATTATTATTTTCCTCTCTCAAGGGAATTAATAGATGTTTACGGAATCTTCTTTGTGTCTGTGGGTACAGTCTGTTGGTTTATTTGGCGCCATAGCATTTCAGATTAAAGTTTTGTTTAGCCTGGTTAATTTGTTCGATATGTTTTGCATGTACTTGAATATGTTGTATATGATATTGATGCAGATATTTGGAATGGCCGAAAAGGAGATGGAATATAGAGTTGAATTATTTAATAAGTAGGTTTCCTGCTCTATGAAACTCGGTTTTCCGCAAATTTCTGTCGCATTTTTTTCTTTAGATTAAATAAATTATCCTTCAAGGGTTTGTGGAAACCAGATTACTCATTTGTAACGGTTCTCAATTACACGAGGCGGACGTGGGCTTTTTTTCCTATGGTTAATCATTTGTTTGCTTCAGTTGCATAATTTTTCCTATGGTTAATCATGTGTTGTTTTTCCTGAGCAGGTTGACCGGTACTTGTTTCAGCAAGTGTGTTGAAAACAAGTAAGATAACTCGTAATTGAAACATCATGATCATAATGTGTCCTTAAAAGGAATTGTCATCTGCATTCTGCAGCAGCATTCTAAGGATAATGGTCTAAACTCTAATGATCTATAATGGTTTATCACTTTATCTTAATAGGTACAAGGAGTCTGAGCTAAACATGGGTGAGAATAGTTGCATTGACCGCTGTGTTTCAAAATACTGGCATGTAAGATGCTCCCTGTCTCCTTTCGGATTTTAGGTTGCTTTACCCATTAGTTATTCATTTTCCCCAGTCTTCTAATGCTGGTGATGTTGTTTATATCCAAGGATAGTTCCTCGTGTTTGAGAATGCAATCCTAGTTGTGCTGTAATTGAAATTTCTCATTGTCCAAATTCCACTGGCATTGCATTTTGTTTAATACATTTATATATAAATCTGTTGCTGGTCAGGTGACTAATCTGGTTGGTCAGCTGCTTGGTTCTGGACCTTCTGGTAGGCCTCCGATGTGATCAAAGCCGGCTCTGTTATATTCTGCGATTTCTTACGCCTGAGCTGGATCAATCGACTGCCGAATATAGAAATACTGCGGATGGTCTTTATTCTTGTATCTGTCTTATTTTGAAAAGGATCCCTCTTCTGTGATGAATTTGAGATGGTTTAGCTTTGTAAACAATTCACGAGTTTGTATTTAGTTCATTTGATGGATTTTTGGCTTGATATCAGTTAGTCATACATCTTTCTTCCAAGCCTTTGGGTGATCACGAAATCATAGAAATCACGTCAAGTCAGCGGAGGCAAGCAATAATGGACCATTGATTTGCCTTGGTTGCAATTACTGTTTCAAACGTCTGTATCAACTGGCTTATCACTGAACTTGGAATAGAGTTGAAACTGAGGCAAAATAACTTACCTATCAATAATTTGACTGGATCCAGAAAAGGGGTTAGCTTCTGAAGAACATGAGCAATTTGAGATTCAAAGCATTTAAAGAGGGGGAAAAGCACCAATGAAATGATAATTGGCGGAGTCATGAGGGTGTTGCCAATTGTAGAAGCTACCGGAAAGATGCATACATACAATTAATACTTGTAAATTTTCCTTGATAAATAAGGGGAACATGAAGAAAGGAAAACGACTATACACTTTCAATTTTTATGCTTTCTGGTTTCCAGCATTGTGCCATCTTTAAGGCTTTCCTGTGCATCATTGTCCATTCCAAGGCTGAAGAGGGCAGCCGCTTGAAGATAAAAGGCAGTGTGCCACGTGGGTGATACTGACTGGGCTTGCATGGCGTCTCCAAGAGCTTCTTGAGCCATGTCATTCATCAAGTAACATAAGCAGCGCCTGGCATACACAGTTGGCGACACCATAGTCCCTACGTCAATGAACTACACACAAAACATGCACCAACATTTTCTGTTTTAGAACAAGGGGAAATAAAATGTGATCATATCTTAATTCATTAAATCTGATAACTAAACCTACTTTTATAAGACGCATTTTAGTAAATGATGGAAATCAGTTTTCCATGTGATTCAGTATTTCACCAAATTTCATAAACGATAATCTTGTCGAGTTTTTCCTTTTCTTTACTTTTAGTCCATTGTTAACAAAAATTAAAATCCAAAAGTTTCCATCATCTGTGAACATTGACATTTTGACTTCCTTGCATTTCTGGCTATCTTACTTGTGTATAGTAGTCAATGGCCGTAGAGAAGTCTTTGGCACGAAAAGCAGAATCTCCTTGCTTCTTAGAATTCAAAGTTTCTTGTATTTGATTCGTCCACATTTGGAATGAAAGCTGTGATACAGAAAAAAGGATAGAAAACCACTGATGTCACGGAGAAATCGAATGTCAATGGAAATCAAGCTTACAGCAACAAATTTGGGGAAGCACACAGACTTGGATGACAAATGGCAAGTCCTCATGACGAAGAAAGTTGAATCGCATTAAAGTTGTCATGAATAAGATAGTGCTCTTAAACCACATGTCATGGCTATAACCAAAGGAAGGTGATGTTGAACAATTTGTTCATCATATGAAGAAAAAATATCTGGGAATTCATCAAATATTGAAGCTGAGAAGCAATAAAATTGGGTTAAATCACGTGTTTAAGAGTTGGGATGGACAAAATGCCCAAGCCAATACCTATAGGAATTCTGAAGGGTATTTTAACTAAGGGTTCGGATTCAGTTAGTGTTATAACAGCCTCGCCTCAAGAACACCCATAATGTGCGCATGTGTGCACTAATCATCAATATAACATATTAAAATATATCAAAAAGAATAATATATTCAGAAATGCAAAATAAATACCCTACAGATAGCATTATATGGGTTTTAAATAATACTAATGGTGGTTTGAGTCATGTTCCTCTTTTTGTGCATGATTTTTCATATGAACATTTTATGTAAATGAGTCCCAACTCGAGAAACTTGAGGTAAATGGATTAGGTTTAAGGATAAAAGAATTCATTGGGGATGGGGAGTATTTTACCCATTAAATATGGTCCAAAGATGGAGACTATAGTATTCTACCCATGATCATCCCCATAAAAGAAGCACATAAAAAGTACAGTACGTAAAAATGAGTCACAAGTAGTACATTTGGCACCAAGAACACTTTTTGTTAGTGTAGCCAAAGAAGCAATCATTAACAAGGGAAAAGAAAAGAAAAGCCACTCACAGCATTCTCGTGATAGAATTATACCAAAGGAACAGAAATCATGGAAACCACTGACTACCTCATTTGCAACATCTTCATCATCCTTGTACCCAACCTTTTCCAAAATTTCATGTATTGCAGTGAGGTCTCTTCTATAACAAGCTTCGCCAAAAGGTGTCAATGAAACCGTTTCCCTTGTTGATGCAATCCCATCTGGTATACCCATCAAAACTTTTGATGGTACCTGGTAAATAGCACATGATGTAAACCATATGCATTTCCCATACGTCCACTGGCATCACTATCGTGCGCAGGTCTATATAGTAAACCTAAACATTGAATCACTTGCAATAGAACTTGAGACTGCAAAACAAGGGAAGAAGGAAACGCTTACAGAAGTTTCTTTCTGAAGAGGAGCTAGAGCAGTTACAAGTGACTTGGCATTAGGCCTCTCGCGAGGTTCATACTGTAAACAACGTGAAGCTAATCTCACTAGTTCAGTTCCATCATCACTTGAAAAATGGCCTTCCAAACATGAATCAATGAGCGGCAAAAAGTTTTTCCCTCGTATAAGATCAAGTGCCTGCATGTAAATGGATTATGTCCCCTAGTTTGGATATAAGCATTTTAACAGTAAGCTCCAATCATATACCAAATCCGACAACATATGTTGAATGAGCCACATCCATGTAATTGCAAATCCAGTAAAATTCAATCGCAGGTATGTCAAAACTAAGCAAAGAACCACATTGTATCAAAAAGAAAAGAAAATAGAAGAAGCAAGCATACATGACTTGGTGGAATATGTTTGCCACTGAGAAGATCAAGCAAAAGGGTGCCAAAACTGTATATAACACTTTCTGGGGTAATCCTTCCTGCCAAATTCAAACATATGTTTAGCTCAGTTAAATAATTATAGTCAGAATGCCTGCAAAAATTTCAATGGGCACTCCCATTATCCCCAACTAGGAATTACAAGCCCAAATGCTTAGACACCTCAAGATGACAGAGTACAAGATCAGCTATAAGCTTTTCTTTGTCAGTTATTACCTGTCCTCAAGTACTCTGGAGGGGTGAAGGCTAAGTTTGTACTATAACTCTTGCCATCTCTGCTGTTCTTCATGAGTCCAAAACAGGAGAGTCTGGGGTTGCCGTCCTGTCCACCATTGATCCCAGGTAAGAAATAGTTGACAAAACACAATGATTTAAACGATCAAGATTTTTTTAAAAAAAAAAAAAGAAAGAAAGAAAAAGAAACTTAATTACCTGATCAAACAGAATTCTATAAGCATTAAGATCGTGGTACAATGCCCTTCCTCTGCTACTGCAGTATTCCAAAGCTTGTGCTAAGTAAAAGGCCACTCTCAATCTCATTGCCCATTTCATGGGCTGGGTCTCCCCTGTCAGAGTAGTTCATTCAAATTACAAATTATGGATTTTCATCAGCGAGAATACCTAAGAAACGAAGCCAACTAGAAAGGAATAAAGGGAAGACGAAGATTACTTAAATTGGTTTCTCTCTTTGCTTCTTAAAGAAAATGCTTTATGTTAGCCAATCATTATCTCAATGCTTAACTATCTTACTAATAACTTGCATTACCTAGTTAATTATTGTTAGATTGGACTTCTCCCTACAACTGGCTTCTGATGAGCAATAATAGCAACCAATAAAACTAAATCAGCAAGCCACCTTGCATTCTAAACAACTACAAGAGAAGAGCAACTTAAGTGATGAATATGAAATAAATAATTAAAAATTACAATGAAAAAGGTGTTTGGAGAGAGTTTCATTGGGCATAAACTCAGCAACAAGCAGTCTCTCTTCCCCTTCGCAGCAACACCCAATCAAGTTGGCTAATCGCTCATTCCGCAGCTGCCCCACTGCTCGTGCTTCCTCCTGCAAGATAGACCAGCCACAGCAAACATAAATTTCCACTCGCAAAGATGGGTAGCACCATTCATATACATGCATGGTCCACCATAAGAGAAGTTCTAAACCATAAAAACATGGGTGGAAGCAGAAGGCACGAACCAGGAATTGTCGAGAATCAGGCCAAGCCGACCGGTTGAAGCGCTTCACAGCAACCCACCCGTCATCTTCAAGCTTTCCTTTATAGACAACATTGGGAGCTTTTTCGCCGTGCTCTGACACAATGTTATCGGGTGAAAATCCTAAAGTGGCACTTCTCAGCTGATCCAAGCTATATTCTATGATTCCAGGCTTCTCATTCTTGTTCCCATCATCTGCACCCCAGTTCGAAATTTCAGTGAAAGGAAAAGAGGTAAAACCAGTTAGCATTTTTGGTTTTTCCCCCAGAGAATGAACAGTGAGAAAACCTCACCATTGTCAGACAAATCATGAAGATTGGATTTGATATTAGAGGACCACCAGCATAGTGAGAATTTCGAGCAGCGACCTCCCATTGGTGAATATGCAATTCCTCAAAAACTTCGTGGAGGAGACTAGAGTGTGGAGACGAATAGGGATAAGGCGGAAATGATGAAGAGAAGGGAAGTGAACAACTAGGAACCTCGGGTATACTTGGGGGAAGAGAAAGTAGACGAGAAAGAATCCTCCTTTGAGATCCAAGGGTTTGTGCCTAAACTTAAGAATCACTCCCAGCACACCACCTCTTCATCATTCCCTTTTCTTCCAGCTTTCCTTCTCTCCTGTAGCCTGCACTGAGTTCTCTACTACTCTCTACTATATCTATTATTTTGAGAAAATATATATTCATTAATTATTTGATATTGAACTGTGTGTGTTTTTAATTCCTTCTTTTATTTTCGGCCTGATAAGCTTCCCCAAGACATCCCATCCCATTCCCACGCTTGCCTCTGAGCCCACCACTGACAACATATGCCACGAGGTGGAAGCGGTGTTGACAATCTGGCTCTCCCTGGCTTTTATTGCTATTTCTCCTCCCTAATTGTCTATTCTGTGGATCAATTGGCCCGCGAACATGGCATGTGGAGAGTTCAAATTGTCGAAATATCTTTACTTTTTTAATTTTTAAAACTACATATAAAAATTAGTGTGAATATATTAAAAAAAAAAATACTCCGCCTCAATTCTGTGA